CTAACAATAGAAGAAATAATAATTTATTAAAAGTTGACTGTTTTCCAGGAAGTAAGGCCATATGTACATAACACTTATAATATCTAAAATTCTTACTGGAGATATTATAATTAAATACATAAATACATAAAACTTACAGTATTGGCAATACTACAATTGAATGCAGAAATATTTGTTCTTCAATTGATGATTTTATAAGAAAATGAAGTCACTTACTGTTGTTGCTCATCAAGTTTGATTGATCTGAACCTTATCTAGGTCTAGATCTTCAAAGTGGACTAAGAGATTCAAGTCGGGGCACAACGACATGGATCCGACCGAATTGTTTTGATTGAGCTTGGATTGATATGGAAAAGCTGGGAAGGCAGCTCTCTGTTCAGGATTGGAAGACAATCATAGAGGATTTTCAGTTAGGGCCTGTTAAACAAGGGAAATGGTTGGCTTTGTATCCTCGTCTTACCATTCTTGAACTTGCTTTGTTCAATGTATTGAGGAAGGATTTCTTGCTTAAATCGCATGTGATTGTGTTTATGGCAGAATTCTCTGAAATTTTGATCCCAGAAGCTGATGTAGACGAGGGTTTGGGCAGTGTCCTAGAAGCTCTAAGAGCTCTAGTTCAAGCTCCAGTTGATGGAGTCTCTGTATCATATGCTTTGAAGGAGCAAATGATAGTTTCTGTAACTTCAGTGTTCATTGTAGCTGATGGCCTTCACAAATCATCACATCGATTGGGAGCTTTTGCTCGCTGTGATTAATAGGCCTAGTTATGGGGTTGATAGACAAACAAGAGGGGTTGCTTGTGAGTGTTTGAGAGAGCGAGAGAGGACACCTTTTTCTTTTCTTTTTTTAAACGAGAGAGAGAGACTACAACATTAGAGAGAGAGAGACCTTTTATGTTTTAACACCTCACATATAAGGAAAAAAAGTTTTTATAAGGATGCAACTTTATAATATAATAATATAGAACTACAGATGCCCTCAAAAATCCATCGGAAAAGATAGTTTTAATGTTGAAAAACCGTTTGATTGATCATCTTGACATCGAGATGTATTACTATGAAAAATAAAAAGATTTTAAGTCTAAAAAATAGTGCATTTTACAACATATTATTTGCACCATCCATTTTCAAGAATTTCATATGTTTATATATCTACTTGATTTTAACCATTTTTGAAATTTCAAATTTATAATTAGATATAATAATAGATTTTGAGATAATCCCAAGAACATTTTACATCAAAATTATATACCCAGATAAAATTTGAAGGTGCACTTTACCTGTACACCTACGGATGCATCTGTATGCTAATTGCGCCCCATATATAAAGGTGTCAAATTTTAATCTAAGACATAAAGGTTTCAAATTTTAATATAAGACTTGGTTGCCACGCCATCTAATAAAACAAAAGAAAAAGATGGTGGATCAAAGGTCCACCTTATAAAAATGAATCATCATAATAAGTTGTTATTATTATTATTGTCATTATTGTTATGATTACAGGTTACGTTCAAGAGAGTTTAGATAATTATTCTCGGTGGTTAGGTTACAAAATTGAAAGCATCCCTGCGAAGTACCTGAGATTGTCTTTGCTGGATAACAAATTGCAAAGAGCTATTTGGGATCTTGTTATTGAGAGGTTTCAAATAAGAGTCGATTCTTGGATATGTGGGTATCTATCCTTTGGTGGCAAAATCACCCTCATCAAGGCCGCATTACCTAAACTTACCACCCTACTACCTTTCCATACTCAAGCCACCTATTGTGATAAATAGGATAGAAAGGATGATGAAGAATTTCCTTGAAAGTGGCCCAAAAGGTAAGAATAAGTTCCATTTAGTTAGTTAGAGTGGAGTATACATATTAAAGAAACAAGGTGGATTTGGCATTCGAAGATTGAAACAAATGAACGAGGCACTGCAAACTAAATGATGTTGGAGGTTAGCAGTTGGAAGCCCGATGTTATGGAAAATTACCCTTTGAAACAAATATTGAATAGACAAACAAGATTCATCTGTGAAGAAGTTGTCCAAGAAAAAACACAGCTTCTTACATTTAGAAAAAAATAGATGCCTTTAGGCCATGTTCTCTCAATATAACAGATTGGAGATGAAGTGATCACAAACTTTTGGGTTACAAGTGGATGATTAATACAGCTCTCAAAACCCACTTTCAGGAGTTGTATAGCAAACTTAAAATGCCAAAGATACCAATAAAAGGAGTAGTGAGTGGAGCACATAGAGAAATAGAAAGGGAAATTTTGCTGAAAAGCAAGAGAATGAGTGAAAATATGGTGTCCCAATATGTTAAGTTAATAAACATGCACTCATGTTACTATTCACCATCTGAGACCTAATGAATATATTTGGGAACTTCACTCAAAAACGATTTCCATACTAGATCACTTTATGACTGAACGACATGTACAAGTTGTGGTAGTAGCGGGAAAGTATGGAGGATGCCAGTGCCATTTGAATATCAAGCTTTTACTTGGCTAGTTACTACAAACATGGCCTTAACTGTAGATCACCTATAAATGGGCGTAAATTTGATTGTTTAAGGCTGCAACCTTATAAAAACTACATCCTTATATAGAATGGATATTAGAAACTAATGAACATATCTTTCTGAATCGCCCTTTAAGAAGCCTTTTGTGGAAATATCATTGTCCACCTTTGAATTCGCATGGGTTACTCCCTCCTTGGTAAAGCATCTATTTCCACAATGGAACTTACCCTCTTCGCCAAAGAATGGAGTAAAGCTTTTGAGAATGGCAGTGGGAGTGACGGTTGAGGAAGGAGAGAAATAACAAAGATTTTTAGAATAAAGTGTGAGACATGGTATCCCAAAGGACTGACCAAGTTGCAATTGGTAGTTGGGCAATGAAAGTGAGAAAATCAAAGGGGTTTCCAAGCAAATAAGAGATAATTTGCCATGTCAAAGGAAATTTCAAAACCAAGTAATTAGCAGCCACCTCTGAGAAAGGAACCATTTGGTGGACTAGTTGGCAAAAAGAGTTCACAGGCAAGCTATGCACTTTTAAAGGCATACATTGTGAGATGGAGGTTTTCTTTTTTTTTTTTTTGGAAAATAGGTGGAGGTATAGATTTTCTCATTTTTATTTTTATTTTTATTTTTTAAAAATGTATTCTTCTTTTTAATTGCTTTTATGTGTACACTCCACTCGTTGTTCATGATTTCCATATATTATTATGGATGAAGTTTCTATAGGGCCTAGGTTTTGTGAAAACAAAATACTTACCTCAAATCCCCATTGGAAAAGCACTTTCAGCATCAGAAATCTTCTTGGTGGCTCTAAAATTAGTTTCCAACACTGACGATAGAATTTGAAACTAATAAAATAGTACAGATCTTGTAGATATGTGAACACTTATTTTTAAAGAGAAATGGATAATCTAGATGATCTGTTGCAATATACATATCTTTCCTATCTTCATTCTTGTCAAAGCTTTTTTCACTTCTAACATCATAATCCTATGAATGTACCTCCGCCCTCATATATATATATAT